CGGAGGAGCGGAGCCAATCACCGCGTCATGTGACGCTCCCTGCGGCCGCGCGCCGTCGCTTCCCCCAGTCCCTGGCGCGGTCACGTGACGGCAGTGTTTACATCCTCTCAGCTGTTGGGCCCCTCCCTCTGCCCGCGTCTCGCATCAACACAAACAGCCGGAGAGCGGCGGCGGCGGCTGGGTCCGGCTGGTTGCGCGGGGGCCGAGGGCCGGACAACCGGGGTGGGGGCTGCGACCGTCCCGGCTCGGCACCTGCCCCCACCCCCTCAGGAGCAGCGGGGACAGGCGCTTCCGCGCCACCAGGGTCCTTCCCCCCGTCCTCCCCCCCGCGCCTTGGGGCTTGCGGGCGCCGCGCAGGGTGAGTGGCTCGCTCGGGGCTGGGAGCAACCGTCGCCTGAGGGCTGGACGGGGAGGGGGGCGCAAGCTGTGAGGAGGCTACATTATTCCCCCCGCCCCCCTCCCGGCGAGCTTTGCTGGGGGTGACAAGGAGCGCCGCCCCCCCCGCAGGCTCGGTGCGGAGAGTAGCCAAAAATAAGCTGCGACTCCCGCCGCCAGCGAGGGCGCTGGAGGCCGCCCCGCCCCCGCCGCAGACGCGCAGTTCGCCTCTGTTTACACCTTGGCCCGGGTTTGGGCTGAGAACAATGCGCGGGGGAGGGGCGGGGGGGCTCGTTCCCGGCGCCACTCCCTTTGTTGGGGGCGCTGCTGCCCCTCTTGGCTGAAATGGAGGGAGATGGGGGGGCAAGGCCCGGGCTGGCATGGAGCTCGCCTGCCTGGCTGGGGGGTATCCAGCCTCAGAGCCAGGGGTCTGGCAGGGAGGATGCTTGCCAAGGCTAGAGCCAGACAGATTTGAACCCTTGGGCTCTGCTCTATCCAGTTCTGGGATCTCGGCTCTTGGGCTTTGCCCAGTTGAATCTGGAATGGATTTGGCCTTGAACAAGGGAAAAAAAAATAAATGCGCCTCGGCAGGCTGCGGAACTGGACCGCTGGTGGCGCTGCGGCGTGAAGCACGGGGGCTCCTTGTGTGCAGGGAGGCCCTTTTGCTGCTTCTCTCTGTGCGGCTCTGTTGCTGGCTGCAAACCTGGAGGAGGGGGGAAGTGGATATGAGTTGGAGCATTTCTGTGATGTGCAACTATCTGAGCCTGGCATCTGCTCTTCCTCTCTGTGGCTGTGGGGTTGAGGGGAAATAATCATCAGTCCTAGGGGGAGGGGGTGAAGAGAGATTTGGAAATTCAGAGAGAGCAATGTCTCGTGTGTATTTGCAGTGCCTGCTAGTGCCCCTGCAGTTCATATTGTCTCATGGATTAAGTTCTAGACTCGTCTCAGGTGAATTTCGGCCTTTTTAAAAAACTTTTCCTTTAACATGTATGACTTGCTGTTCGCATCGGTAAGCAGCCCTGACTGAGAAGTACAGTAGCAGCCGCAGATGATCATAGTAAACCAGCTGTCAGCACTTTTTCCTTGTCTATTATTTTCACTGTGGGCTGTTTTAAAAGCAGGGTTGTAAAGCCAAGTTCTTAAAGTTAAGGACTCTTGCATTTTATGAATGCTTATATAGCCATAACTCAGTCTCCTTCCCCCTCCACCCCACTTTAGGATTTTGCCATCTACATTTGAGTATGTGTTGTGTAGCCTTAACTCGACCTCCTTGTGCATCATAAGAAAGTAATGAAGCACCTTTTGTACAGGTCATACATAGACTGCTTCTGGGCATAAGTAGGGTAACCATATTAACTGTTGAGGAAATCTGGGATGGGGTGCCAGCATGTACACTCAGACCCGTCCCGTCCCCCCACTCCGACCCTCAAGGCTTTTGGGAGCAGCGTGGCAGGATGGAGCAGCCCACGGCCAGGGTTCATCCTCTTGTGCGCAGAGGCCGGACCTGACTGGGAGCAGTCCTTCTTCCCCCCGACACCATTAGTTGCCAAGGTCTGCTATATGCAGTCTGGGCCTTGGCTGTTGGTGCAGCAGTAGGACAACAAGCTGCTGGTGACAGGCAGCTATTCCAGCTCACCCTATGCAGGTGCCCAGCCCAGCCTCCCCTGCTCCACCCTGTCCTGGCTGATCCCCACCCCAGCAGGAGCTAGGCTGGGCACTAAAGGCAGCAGCAGCCTCTGCCTGTAGCAGCTAAATCTGGGACTTGTGCTTCAGTTTATGCCAATCAGCCAGGACTCTAGTTCCTACACAATCCAGGTCATATGGTAACTCTAGGCATAAGTGGGGATTGTGTAATAAAGTTGCTGGTGGGACCCTTGTGGTATATTGTAGAAGTTGGAATATATATATAGTGAACGTGGTGGTAGATTGACTGATGAGAGAGGATGATGTGGAGTTTGATAATTGAATGTTGCTTGACACCACTGCATTTTATCCTGTCATTGTCACTGAATTTCCAGTCTCCCTGTCTAGGTAATTCCAGTTCTTTCTTCTTTGTCAGACCTTTCTCTGCCCTTCTCAACATCAGTTCCCAACCCCCTGCTCCTTCCCAGCATTTTTTATCCCATTTCTTTTCCCTCTTGCCTTTCTCTAGCTTTATGTGCTAGTTTTTACCCATTCTTCTAGCTCTTTGCCAGACATGACATTTCTGTTCCTACTGATTCTAGTCTTGGTCTCCCTTTCAATCCAAGTGTTTTTTCTAGAGGTTCATCTATATATATTGGTCTATATTGGATCAGCACCAATAAAAGGAAGATTGTCATAATCAGTAATTGGATTTTTTTTTTTTGGTTGGTGTAGCTAATAATGTCAGTGATAAATGCCTGTGCATGCCTGCAGTTGCAGCATGCGTGCAGGAAGGAATGCTGCTGGACAGCTTGGAGAGCAGCATCTGGCCAGTAGTTCTGTGGGGGGGAGAAGGGGCATGGTGGGACAGATTGAGGCCCCCATGGTGAGGAAGACAGTGGGGCTGGGGCAGGTGCTGCCCAGCTGGAGCAGAGCACAGGATGGAGCTGTGGGAGGCTTGTCCCAGTGGTGGGGAAGGGAAGCGCTCTCCTGCCACTGTGCATACCTGTGGGGGAGGCAAGGGGCACATGTGCCCTCCCAGATCTGTGTGCAGCCTGCGGGCTCGGGGCCAGGAGCTGTGCTGTCCTTTTCCTGGTGTGGGGGCTATGCTCATGATGGGTGGGGTGGGCAGCAGGGCTGGGAGGGTGCACTATGGGGGATTTTGGGGTGGCTGTAGCACCCCCCCAGTGCCACTGCTCCCGCTTGCCCCGTGCGTAGCCCTAGCCCAGTCACCCTGCTGAGAAGAGGCTAGTGCAGCCCCTCGTCCTGAGCTCACAGCAGGCAGCTCACCCTTGCCCCACACACAAATCTGTGGGTGGCACATGCCCCCCATGCCTCCCCCAGTGGGTGCACATGGCAGTAGGGAAGCAGCCCACAGCTCTGTCTTGTGCCCTGCCCTGTCTTTTGCACCTGTCCCTGCTCCACTCCCACCCTCACCCTGGGACCCTTGATCTGCCCTCGCCCACAGACTTACTGGCCAGACGCTGGCCTTCAAGCTGCTGGGCTGCATGTCGGCAATCGGATCTGTATCAGCTGCTTAATTGGCTGTTGGTCTTGGCCAAAAAATCTTTATTGGTGCACCCCTAGTTCTTTCTTTTAGCTAGTCCCAATTTATGTCTCTTGTCCATCCCCCTCAAGACTCTGTCTGGTCTACTGCTTTCCCTTCCCCCGGTTGGGATTTTGTCATTTATATTTGAATCGGTGATGCCTGGAGGTAGAAGAAGGAACATCAATAGACAGGATTTGTGTTGTCAGTTTCAGTGGTGGATCCCACCTGGGTCCAGAGAAGCTATTACCAGGGAAATTGGACTTTGTTGTTGTAGTTCTGGATTGGGGCACGATCATTGTTCTGTGGGGTGATGAAAAACAAACAGGTTTCTACTGAGCTTTCGTGACCTGTGGAGTACACATCCCTTTCTAGTTGTGACCATTGCACCTTCTTCTGTCAGTGCCTGATGCGACTTTCATTAAACCTCTATTTGAGATCAGCAGATCTAGAGAATTGTCTTCTGATATACCTTCAATATTCATCTAATTTTGTTGTTCCTTCTGTCTTTTATCTTGTTGTGGTACTTTTCCTTCTTAGAAGCTTTACGAGTAATTTTCTCACTTTTTATAAGTATTTTATTGTGGTGGTAGTCATGTTCTGTTTACATTACAGTGAGTGGAGTATAAATACATCTGCTATTTCTGCAGGGCTTATGTGCATGTCAGTGAAAATTTGTGTATTTCTGGCTCTTCAGAGAAGTGCTGATATTTGCTGCGTTGTACGGGGAAATATAGTTGTTCTTTTGAGACTCTAAGAAGGGATACCTTTATCCCTGATGATATAGCGTGGGGCATTTTTTCATTGTGTTCATTGTACTGGGAGTCATCAGAAGCATTTGGAATAATAGTTTTAGGAGTAATGAAGGGTATTTTATCAGAAATCTGTATCTGAGAATTGCAGGGCTTCTGTTACAGAAATAGCAACAATATGTAAACTGGTAGTTTGAAGCATTGATGAGAGTACTTACAATTAATCTTCCTTTTAATAAAAGGAAAAGTATACATTGTGCAGTTTATAGAGATTAGCTGATTATTAAAGACGCAGATGATAGGTTTTATAGATGATAGGTTGGTTTGTTTAGGAATCACTCCATCTATAAAAGTTTCAGTGTGCATAGGTTAAAATGGGTTTACAAATAATCACTAGAATTTGGAAGCAGTATCTAGAAAAGTATTGTGGTGTCTGCCTTGCATACACTGTGTATGAAGGGGGGGTGCAAATTTTATATTTAGAAGTATCATGCCAAAACTGTGAACATTTTATTATACAAAACCATGTTGTACCTAATTGTGGACAGAGTGCAACTTTTGTAGCTTTCTCAAAACAGTTTTTAATACAAAATAAAAGGAAGGAGAAAGAAGAAACCTATATGTACACAGGAGTCTACAGTGCTAAAATAGTTTAGAGATGACATCAAGAGTCACCATGGTAACTTTCAAGCTGCATTCCGGTGTTCTTTTGGGTGGAGGAATTCTAGAATGGGGAGGTGACCTTGTGACAGGAATAAGCTTACTCCAGTTGGAAGTTGGCTTGTGACAGAAAATAATTGGGTTTGGCCTTTGGTTCAGAGGTCTTGAAAAACAAACAAACAAAAAAATGGAGATCTCTGTATTGCATTTCACCAAATGTAAAACTCCTGAAGGTGAAAACAGGGGTTGATGTATACATATTTGTTTGGGCTTTTTGACGGGGGGAGAGAGAGAGAGAGAGCTAGTTACACACACACACACACACACACACACACACACACACACACACACACACACACACACACACACACACACACACACACACACACACACACACACAAA